GGGACAAGTGAGTGCAAAAGGGGATCTAAAAACCAGTGTCAATTTGACGGGCCTCTTAGCTCTTAAGATACTACAGACAAGCCTGAGCCCACAGACCGGCCCAAAGAATACAAACATTTCTAATGAAAATCTGGAGTCTCCATCAGTTAAATTGTTAGAGGGATTGGTTGATGAACAGATTCAATTCCAGCTCTTTATATTTTAGGGGCCGCATTGTTCTATAAAAGGGCCAAAATTAAGACATGGGTTGCATATCTGTCTTAACTGCAAAACAGAGTTTATAGAAATAGACCGGGGAAGACTTAAAGGAGAGGACAGCATTTTTGTCTGACAGAAATTTCAAGCCAACTTGACATATTTGAAAAGTCCCTTTCATTGATGTGAGGAGCTAGATGCACTGAAGGGTTAATAGGTAGAAATCTCTCATTTTTAAAGCATAACCTCACCAAAAGGCATTTATATATTATTTCATTGCTATTCTGTTGTCACATTTTAGTGACAATTCCAGGGCTTCGAACCAGTTTATTCTGGTCCAGACCCCTCTGAGAATTTGGCATTTCCACACCAGATAATACTAAATCAGAATCTACATTTTAACAAGACCCCAGGTTTAAGAATCACCTTGGTAAACCTTGTTAAAACTGCAGATTCGGATGCAGTATATCTGGGGTGGAAATGCAAATTCTCAGAGGTGTGAAGCCCTGGAAAACACCTAGGATGAGATAGCCACTGTTTATTTGGAAGAAGCAACTGCTTCCTACATGCAAGCCAGAGGGCCTGGGGAGGTCCAATGGGTCAGAACACACCCAGATACTCAGGAGAAATTCTCTGAGGGGAAAGTGAGACCCACCTGGTAGAGATGGCTTGTTAGAGTTTGTTGTTAATAAACCAACATCCTGAATGGAAAGGAGAAAATCACTGGAGTATTTCTCCAAATGCTTAAAAATAAATAGGAAAGTTAAATTTCTCCTTTTAAAAATACAGCAATAAACCAACCAAGCAACAAACTGGAAACTAGATGATTGGCTCCCTTTCATAGACTTGGCCTGAAATGCCCACGGCTCTCTTCTGTTAACGTTCTGTTTCTAAGCACACTCTCTCTGAGGCCTCACTAGGACATGAACCAAGCCAGTTGCTGGTGAGTTGATTCCAACCCGTGGTGACCTCATATGTGTCAGAGTAGAACTCTGTCTCGTAAGGTTTTCAAGGGCTGGTGTTTTGGAAGAAATTGCAAGGTCTCTAGGTCTCTCTCTCAAGGTGAAATCAAATCACTAGCTGAGTGCATTAACCCTTTGTACCACTCAAGGGCTCCTAGAAAGTTAACAATATGTTTAATCACTGAGCAGTGTAACATGACAGATGCCTTCTGCTGACTTCCTACTTGGAATATATCCTGGCAGTTTACCTAATTAGCATATCTTAAATAACATGACCTCTGAACCCCAATCTTTGCTCTCATCAGTAACTCATCCTCTGGCACCATTTCTGTTACATTGGGGGACTCTTCCCAAGCCTCCGCCTTCTTGAAAAGACCGTACATTTCTCATCCGTGTAATGGCACTACATACATCATTAACGTAGAAGTCTGAAGGGGTTTTATGCTTTTCACACTGGTGTAAGAGATAAAAAATAGAATCAATATCCATCTAATAAATAAGACCAACAGCTTGGAAAGGGCTTCAACATCTAGCGTCTGTGGAAGACGTGGGGCAGGCAGAGGGGCTGGATGACAGAGGCTCCAGTTCCTCTAAAACTTGGCATCTTCACGGACCAGTCAGCAGTTACCCTTTCTCCCGCTTCCTCCCAATAAACTGATGAGAAGCCTGTAGCGAGTAAAGGAGTCTGGTGTTGGGCAGGATGCTGTTGTGCTCAGGTCGTCCCAGTAGAAAGAAGTACAGTCCTGGGTCCATGACGGGCAGAGACAACTACACACAACTGGATGAAGCACAGACTGACGCACATCCCTTATCTATGTAAACAGGGTTTCTGCCCCTTTGCAGTTCTTTTTGGACCAGTTTTTCACATCGTGGTCCGCTGATTTCTTTTCTAGGTCACACCGAATAACCCCAAAGTAGACAGAGTTTATTGACAGAGTTGTGAAGGCCCAAAAAGACAAAAGGCTGCACAGGTGACTTCAGGCAAAGAAGGAAGGATCTGCCAGCCTGTCCCAGGCATCCCTCGCAGGGCTGTCCTGAGGAAGTCCTTTCTTCTCAGGTGGCCACAGTCCACCTGGCTGAACTCCTTTCCTGGGCTCCTCAGACCACTGGGAGGAAGGAAAAACAAGTTAATCACTGTGGGCCAGACCCCAGCCTCGCCAGGAAAACAAGCTGGGGACTGAAAGTTGGAGATGGCATCGGCCAACACCATTAGCTTCTCTTGGGCAATCAGGCTCGAGCCCAAATTCTGCTAGTTCAGTCTCAGAGGAGCAACTTCTGAACCTGTGATTTCAATGCTCAGTGCAGCCAGAAAGGCTGATGGAAGTGAAATGAACGGAAGCAGAAGAGAACAAGACACACCCTATTGTGAGGTCTTCATCCAACTGGAGGTAATTCAACCCAGCCTGTGGCCAGCTCTCCTGTGGGGTGGTTTGAATTACCTCCTGTGGGGCAGGTCAAGAGCGTGGATTCTGGTGGCAGATTCACTTCCCCTAAGGCCATATTAGAAAGGATCCACTTATATTTCATTAGATGGAGGCGCTCGGGCTTCCTCTCTGAGTATTGGGGTGAGGCAGCATGGGCCACTCCTCAGTCTCTCCTGAGCTCAGCTCAATCTGGACTCTTTCTGCCTGGGTTCTTCCTGGGGCTTCCCTAAGGGAAGGGGAGGGAGTGTCCTGGCCCAGGGGTAATCATGGTGGGGCTGCTCCAGCAAGGCTGACAGTGAGCGCCTGGTTCAGCCATGCTCAGGCGTAGCAGGCCTACTGGGGCTACAGTGAGGCCATCGTCCTGGAGAGAGGGGCCGTCTCTGAAAAGCCAGATCCATCCTGAGACTCTAAACTGATGTGTGCTCAAATGTGACTGGAGGAGAAGTGACAGCAACAAGAAACCCAATGCTCCACCCCGAACAACTCTGCTGAGATGAAAACACTACAAAATCTACTAGAAATTTTCTTTGAAAATTTAAGCAAATCTAGTGGTTACGAATTGGGCTGCGAACCGCAAGGTCAGTAGTTCAAAATTACCAGCGGCGGGAGAAAGATGAGGCTTTCTGCTACCATAAAGGTTTATAGCCTCGGAAACCCTGTACAGTTTTGCTATGAGTTGGCACGGCACATAACAACAACAACAACAACATTGGTGTTAAAACACAAAGGAGAGCTATTTGCCTTTGCTCAGTGCATCCCCCACTCCCAGATAATAGAAGCGATATGTGAGTGGCCCAGTTTCATGCTCATTTCCTGACTCATGGTGTAACTTAAGCAGGCCTTTGGCTGACTCAGTTTCCTACATCACTCAACAAATCATTCTCTTAAAACCAACATGAAGATGAATGGATCACCAACCTTAAGAGCTGTGGGTTCCAGCATCAACAGACCTGCTCATGTTCAATGATTATGAGTACCAAAACGAAGGACAAGTAAATGGCACCCCCTGACCTCCAGTTCCTTGGAGGTTACCATGTCAGATTATTGTGTGGTTTAATGAACAGTGAGGGTTCCAGCTTCCCAGTAACCTTATTCCTTACACTTGCCATGCGGTCTTGAGCTTCTAATGCCAACTGTTTCCTACAGAAGAACACCTCACTGTAGACCACCCTCTTATAAATGTCTTCTGACCCACTACTTTCTATAAAAGAATTTTAAGTTTATGATGGATTTTGTTGGTCAAAATAGCAGCCTAGAGAGGCTGGTTGATGTGTGAGTAAGAATTTCAGGGCTTTTCTGAATAAAGCACTTGCTCAACTCCATGATCCCAGAGCTAATAATGCTCAAGGTAGTGTAGTGGTTACGAATCAGGCTGCTAATCTCACTGTCAGCAGTTCGAAACTACCAGCTGTCTGCAGGACAAAGATGAGGCTTTCTGCTCCCGTAAAGATTTACAGCTTCGTAAACCCTATGTAGGGTCGCTATGAGTCGGAACTGACTCCATAGCACATAACAACAACAACGTGTGAGCTCACCCCCACATCCAGATGGCCAGTCTCTTTCATGGGTGTTAATGAAAGCTAGTCACATAAAAATGGTAGACTTAATGAAGCTCCTAAGATCTGAGAGTTTGAGTGTTCTTTAGAGACCTCTATAAGTCAAATCCTTCATTTTTTACCAGTGAGAAAGGGAAAAAAAATGACTATCTGTTATGTGTTTACAGTTTGTCATACACTAGTGCTGTGGGTTAATGTGCCAGACTGCAAAGCTATTTGCACTGCCAGGTCGGCAGTTCAAGCTCACCAGATGCTCTTCAGAAACCCTATACAGGGTCACTATGGATCGGAACCGACTCAACGGCACTTCACAACAACAACAAAATACTAGGTATGGGAGTCCTGGTGTTGTGCTGTGGGTTAATGTGCTGTATTGTGAAGTTGGTTTGAACCACAAGGTTGGTAGTTCAAGCCTCCTACTTGGTCCTCAGAAACCTTATGTAGGGTTGCTATGGGTAGGAACTGACTTGATGGCACTTAACAACAACAACAACATACTAGGTATTTAGTTTGAACCACAAAGTTTGCGGTTCAAGCTCACCAGTCATTCCTTGGAAACCTTGTACAGGGCTGCTAAGGGTTGGAACCGACTTGATGGCACTTAACAACAACAAAACTAGGTATTTTGCACTAGCACTCATTCTGTTTACACAGTGGTCTTTTTAAGAGTATGAAAACAGGTCCAGGGAGGTTAAGTCACTTGTCAAAGGTCACATGGTCATCACAAGGACAGAAGAGCTCCCTGCTAAGAAGAACATACCTTAGAATAAACGAAACCTGACTTGGAAGGATAAAACAAAATCCTACTTTCCCTCCCTCTATTCTACTTCATCTTCCAGGAACTTCTGATTTGCAGAAGGTGGTCACTCAATAGGGCCTCCCAAGCGAGTGGAGGTCTCCCTTCCCGGCTCCCAGTGAGGCCCTTTACCTGTTTCTGAGTGGCAGCAGGAATTCCTTCCCTTCAGTAGGGCACTGGGCTTCTCGTGCCGGCAGATGAGGGCTCGACACCACTCACAGTGCTTTCGGACCTGGCAGCAGCTGCAAAGAAGCAGGGGACATGGTCTGGGTGGGGGGCCTGGCAGAAGTGCCATGCTGGTGCACAGCTGTCTGAGGGGTCTGCTGGGAAGTGCTGGCTTCTAAACCAGTGTCTGCATGAGGGCCTCCTGAGATCTCACAGAGTGGAGGTTGAAGGCCTCACAGGATGGTGGCTCTTTGGGATAGACCCCAGTCAGCGACAAAAGCTGCCCCAAAGTACCAGCTGTAGCTCTGCTCTGGGCTCCAGCTCCCCCAGATGTCAGAGGTTAATGGCCACCCACTCAGATGCTTCCTCCATAAAGAACCAGTTGGGTAACTCTGTGAATGCAGTGATGGCTCAGAACTACTGTCAGGACTGGGACAAAGCAGCTGCCTCAGGCTGGCAGGCTATGAGGACTCAGGTATTGCCAGGAAGAAAGCTGGGAACTTGGACAGGCTGAACTGACACATGAAGTAGGGCCTGAGTTATGGAGCTCAGTGCCTTTGCATCTTGAAGCCCTTCTTTGAGGACTAAGTTTCTCTGTGAGCCTGTGTTGTCTAAGTCCATAAGAAATCAGCTATAAACATGCCTGCCTCCCTCTATGGGCAGGAATGAATAGTTTTCAACACGAAAAAAGAATCTGGGAACTCAAAGCAGAGCCGAAGAGAAAGCGCTGAGACATCAATGACATAAGAGGCACTCGCTGATGGCTGCTTCTCTTGGGATGGCCTGTGGGTTAATGGGCCAGACAGCAAAGTCAGTTTGAACTGCAAGATCAGCGGTTCAAGCTCATCAGTCACTCCTTGGAAACCCTGTACAGGGTCGCTATGGGTTGGAACCAACTCAATGGCACTTAACAACAACCACCACCTTAATGCATACATAACCTATGCCCCCATGGGATGGGTGACATGAGCCAGGAGGCAGAGATGAGGAAATGAGCTTGTTGCCATCCCAGTCCATCCTGCTCAGCCAACTGAGAATGGCCCTGAAACCTTCCTGTCTAACTTGCTTCTCTCATTGGTGGAAAATGAGAGCGCCGAGTACCCCACCTGTGGGGAGAACCCTCCTGAGTTGGGATCAGTTTGTGCCATACTGGGAGATCTAGAAACCTGGTCTCCACAACATGCCAAGAGCCATCCAAGTTCTTCCTAGCTTGGTTGACACAAATCATATATCAAAGCAACAAGTTATGCCCAGGTGGCTCTGTTAACCTGGCATGCCTAGGATGTCCCTTGTAGGGGTGGACAGATAGGAGACCTGGCCAGAGGGGCAGGAGGTACTCACTGGATCAGCACACAGGTGATGATGAGGACAGCCAGGGCCACAATGGAGACAACAACCAGGGCGGTGATGACCTGCTTCTTCTGGCTGGCAGCCACCACGGCCAGGAGGTCTGCATGCTCACAGCGGGCACCAACGTACCCAGAATGGCAGCTGGGGAGGGAAGGGGTTTCAGCATGCTTTCTAGACAGAAGGTCTCATCCCCACAACTCCCCCTGCGCTGGGCTGGGTTCTGCTGGAGGGCCACAAAGCCCATACAAAGAGCCCCAGGGGCTCCTCCAGCTTTTGCTATCTGAGGCAAAAGCATCAGTGCTGGAATTGTTGCTTCTCTGCCGGGGGCACGTCTTGTGTGACTTGTTGCTTGTTGTGTGCCACTGAGTCAATTCCAACTCACAGTAACCTGACAGGACAGAGTAGAACTGCCCCCTGTAGGATTTTCTAGGCTGTCATCTTTATAGGAGCAAATGGCAGGTCTCTTCTCCCATGGAATGACTGGTTTTCGAACTTCCAACCTGTCAGCAGCTGAGTGCTTAACCACTGTGCCACCAGGGTTCCTTTGCTTGGAGAATTGGAGTCCTGGTGTGTCACTGTAGGATAAAACACTAGACAGCAAGGGTGGTTTGAACCACAAGGTCGGTGGTAGAAACTCACCAGCCGCTGCTCATAAACCCTATACAAGGTCACTGTGAGTCCTAACTGACTTGACAGCATTTAACAGCATCAGCTGAAACACTTTGAGAATTCTGGAGTCCTGGTGTGGCGCTGTGGGTTAATGTGCCAGACTGCAAAGCCATCTGAATGGTGGTTGGTGGTTTCCAAGCTTACCAGCAGCTCCTCAGAAACCTTATACAGGGTTGCTATGGGTTGGAACCGACTCCACGGCACTTAACAACTCAGCCTTATCATCTGAGAATGAGAAGGTGCTGTTGAAGCACTTTATTATTATTATTACTAAACCCAATTGTGGGGGGAACAGAGAAGGCAGTAACGATCTGATCATACCTTTTTTTCAGGTGAGGGTAGCCCCCTTCCCACAGGAATCCTCAGGAGCAGCCTCCAACTGGCTGGCCAGTTTAGGTATATGCAATAGATATAAACTGGACTAAAATATTTCCCCTAGGTAGGGAAGTGACAAAGGGTCAATCTGTGAGTCTCCCTTTTGGTTAAGTAATTGCTGGGTCAGCTTCAGTTTTAGATGAAAGGGTCTTTGAAGAACAAGGGAAAGTGAGCGGAGATTCCTCGCATGCCTGCTATTGTGCAGGCCCTGCCCGGGGGTGTGAGATTTTTATTCTCTTGCATCTGTGCTCCTGGCAGCCAGACCCCAGATGCCAGGAGGGTACTTGAGAAGCACAACTTGTTTCTCTAGAGCATAGATTTTGCTATTTAATGATAAGGACTATATATATGCTTATGACAAATTGGAGATGGAAAGATTGTTGCTCAATGCTACAATCTGGGACATGAGCTTTGTTTGTCTTTAACTTCACATAATGCTTTTTGTCTTCCCCAAGACCAATTGTTATGACCCTATTTAAAGACATTTTTTAAAAGTCTAAATTCAGGCGCTTGTTTTTCTCTTTCATGTACGTTCTTCTCAGTTAATCCTCAATGTGGGGAGAACATCTGGAGTTACTGCCTAATCCATGGGACTTCAGGTCATGACCTAGGTGACCTCCATGAATAATATTGGCCTGAGCTCCAGCTGGGAGACCCAAAGACTATATGTTGTTGTTGTTGTTAAGTGCCGTCAAGTCGATTCCGACCCATAGCGACACTGTATAGGGTTTCCAAGGAGCAGCTGGTAACCTTGAACTACCGACCTTGCAGTTCAAATGGCTTTGCAGTCTGGCACATTATTAACCCACAGTGCCACACCAGGACTCCAAAGACCATATGATCTTGTGGAAAACAAAGCTTTAAGAATGACATTATTTTAGAAACAGCTCACTCTTTTGAGTCAATAATCTCCCAGTCTGTGGGTTTTCTTTATAAGGTGGTGACAGATGAGGCCTCACCTCAAGGTATGTCATTTTTATTGACCAGGATGTGTGTGTCAGCTCCCCAAAGCTGGGGTGGTTCTGAGGAGCAGGGACAGAATGTTCTACTTTCTCTGCACAGACTCAGACTTTCTGGTCTAGTGGGAACCAATTCATTAGAACATTCTTCTAGGTGCTGTAAATACAGAAAGGTATAAGGCGTGGTCCTTCCTCACAGCTTACAAGCCGGCCAGGGATAAGGGAAGAAAATCAAGGGATGTGTCAGTCAGTGTTAAGGGCTTCCCTTGCGAGCCTGTGTGTCCGCCGCACAACTCTGCACGGATAATACATCGCCCTCTATACTCGGAGCTGTCAGAGCTGGAGGGGTCTGCATAAGTGTCCTGTCTAAGGTTAAACACTCACATGACCCGAGGAGTCACTCCAGTGGCAGAACAGGGCAGTGGTAGAGCCCTTGCCTTCCCCAAGGGAGGTTAGGATTTGACTCCCGGTGGATGCACCTCATGTTATTGGAGGTTTATGTACTGCTATGATGCTGGTCAGGTTTCACTGGAGCTTCCAGACTAAGAGAGACTTGGAAGAAAGGTCTGGAGATCTACTTACCAAAAAGTTAGCCAGTGAAAACCCTATATGGATAACAATGGTCCAGTCCACAAACACTCATGGGGATGGTGCAGGGCTGTGGAGCATTTCATTCCATTCTGTGTGGGGTCGTCATGAATTGCAGGCCAAGTGGATGGCAGCTAAGAACCACCACCAAAGGCAGAAGTAAGCAAAGTGGACCAATGTGAGCAAAGCAATAATGGAAGAAAGAAGATGAGGCCAACATGGTGCCCTAGTGACAGGGAGTAGTGGAAGAGGTGGAGACGATGGGAGAGGGCAAACCTTCTTTGATGGGGCGATGCCACATGTTTAGTAGGAGTTCAAACCTGGGCTTGTCCAAGAGAAGTGGGCGTCTGGATGAAATTGTAAATCTTACTGCCACATAAAACACATTTGTGGGGCTCCAAGACCCAGTGGAGAAACTGAGATTTCCAAACTGTGAGAGAACCTCAATTGTCCTGGTAGCTCCCATACTAAGGTCTGTGGTCAGGGAAATGATATTGGGAGTGACCGTGATTTCGCTCTGCAGAGGAAGATGTCAACACCTCTCTCAGAAATGAAAGGACTCGAGAACATTTTGAAGCTAAGGCTGAGGGTGCTGGAGATAGTGGCTGAGGGCATGGTTTTGGCATTAGAACTTACTGGACTGAATCCCAGCTTGACCACCTACTATCTCTGGGGCTTTGGGTAGGTTGCTTAACTTCTGTTTTCTCATTTTAGAAGTAGGGTAATACCTACTTTTCAGGGTTGCTGCGAGGGCTACATGAGCCAACAGATATGGAGTGCTTGTCACGGAGCCTGGAACAAAGCTTCAGCTTTACTTGAGAGATTACTATTCTTACCAACAGTAGTATTTATAATGTGAATGAGGAGCTAGAGGGCCAATCCCTTTGGTTACCAAAATGTAGTTAGATACCTAGTCATCCTGATTACCAAAACAATACTAGTGTGTATATGTGACGGCTAATTATTTTTTTTGGAGTTAAGAGCAGGGCTTTGCAACACATTGAAGAGACCCAGAGAACAGTCACCACTCTGATTTCAGAGTGTTTCCACCTCGCTGTGGTAGGGTCTCAGTCAGAAATAAGGTCATTGCTCTGATTGTCTGATGCTCCAGGTTCAAGGTCTTCAGCTCTGGAAAGTTTATAGCAGCCTCTGATCTGCTGGAGAAGGTACCGGAGGAGGAAAATCTGAGCTTCCAACTCAAAATGAATCAGAGCTCAGCAAAGACTTGTCCTCTTTCTCCAAAAAGGATTCCCTCAACTCCAGTCCCCAAGCCTGCCCCAAGCATGGAGACGGCTGTAAGAGGAACCGCCTTTGGACTTTGCACAGAGGTGATAGGAGGCTTCCTTGTAACCAGCTGAAAAGCACACCTTATTTCTGATTCAGTCTAAACGCAAACACAGTCTCCCCCACCCCAACATTGAAAGTGGAACCAATAAAAACAACTCAATCAGTCCCCCAGTGTCTGGACTAGTGATCTAATGAACATTTAAATAAGAATGATAATCATAAACCTAGAACTTGCCTTGTATTTACAAAGTGAGGAGGCTGCTCACTTGAGGGAGTCTCTTAACTCTGCAGACACGACCTGGGGGCCACACAGTTCTCCTCCCCACTGTCTATCCAGGTGAAGCTCAGAGGCACCTGGAGGGGTTGGCCCAGGCTCACATGGCTGCACATGCTGCCACCTCTGGAGGGGAGCCCACTCACTGTTACTCAGAGCTTTGCTGCAGTACCTGTCTCTGGTCCCGTCTTTTCTGGGCTAATGGACCTTTATGCATCTTGGTTAAGAGCTTTACTTCAGGAGCCTAAGAGTCTGGGTTTGCATCTAAACTCTGCTTAAAGGACTTGCACATAATTCTGTGCCTTTCTCATGAGGTCATATGAAGATTCAATGAGTTAACCCTTTCATTACCCATGGGACTTATAGTGACCACCTACATTTTCTGTGTCTGGGGTTTAAGTGGGAGAGAGATATCCCACCTTTAGCAAGTGCTGCCATCTGGTGGGGGCCTGTATAACTGCTAAGATTATAGCCCACCAACTCAGCCCACCAACCACTCCTTGGGACATGTGTCTCGTTGTTGTTGTTATATGCCGTGGAGTCGGTTCCGACTCACAGTGACCCTGTACAGGGTTTCCAAGGCTGTAAATCTTTACGGGAGCAGAAAGCCTCATCTTTCTCCGGCAGAACAGCTGGTAGTTTCGAACTGCTGACCTTGTGGCTAGCAGTACGATTCGTAACCACTACGCTACCAGACTGTATCAAAATCCATATTACTTTAAAAAAAAATTTTTTTTTTTTTCCCCTTCATGTCATTCAAAATGGTTTCAGCAAAAAATTCAAAGCAGGAAATAATTCAGTTGTGGAAGGGTGAAACATACACTGTACTTAGAACAGTGACTGGCAGGGAACAAAGGCTCAATAAATGCTACCTCTTCATAAACATATATGATAATTTATTGTAAGGAATCCTGGTGGTGCAGTGGTTAAGTACTTGCCTGCTATCTGACAAGTTGGCTGTCTGAACCCACCAGCCACTCTGAGGGAGAAAATGTGACAGTTGGCTTATGTAAAAAAAATATTGTCTTGGAAACCCTATGGGGCAATTCTCATCGGGCCTATGGGGTTGCTATAATTCTGAATTGACTCCACATCAAAGCTTTGTTTGTTCATTAGGTTGTTAAGTGCTGTTGAGTCAGTTCCAACTCATAGTGACCACTCATAGGGTTTACAAGGAGCAGCTGGTAGGTTTGAAACACTGACTTTGTAGTTAGCAATCCAGTGCTTATCTTACAGAGCCACACCAGGACTCTGGCAATACACTTTATTGTTGTTGTTAAGTGCCATTGAGTCAATTAGGGTTCCAAGGAGCAGCTAGTGGGCTTAACCCACCAACCGTACAGTTAGCAGTCCAGTACTTATCCTATAGCGCCACACTAGGACTCTGCTCATTAGGTTAAACCATATGAAACCACTCCTTCTGTTGCCACTTGTGTACGCAAACCCTTTGCATGGACTTTTAGCCTACTTTTACTTAGACTGGAAAGATTTTTGTAGGTAGATACCTCATCTTAAAGATTCTGGCTACTCAAAATTATCCAGTACAGTTTCTTGCCCGCCAAAATTCCAAGTAGTAGATCAAATATGAATCCAGGAATTTTCAAAGTTTACTGACCTTAGGATGCCCCTGAAGTGCTATACTTGGGGTTCTGCTCAGTGTCTGAGCTGAGCCCCAGGAATGTGTATTTGTTTGTTTTTGAAAGTCTTAGGATTTTTAGTTTATTATTTTAAAAGGATTTGGTTATTTTGGTTGTTAAAATCATATACAACAGAAATGAATGATTTATACTTGTACAATTCATTGATATTGATTACATTCTTCCAGTTGAGCAATGTTCTCTTCCTCCTTTTCTAAGTTCTTCTTCCTTTAACATAAACTCACTGCCCCATTAAGCTTCCTATCTAATCTTCTGAGATGCTGTTTTCAACTTGATCTTACAGTGTTCTTTTGTGCCATCGAGTCAGTTCCAACTCACAGCAACCATATATAGGGCTTCTAAGGAACTGCTGGTGAATTTGAACCACTGACACTGTGGTTCAAACCAACCTTGCGGTCCATTGCTTTATCCCGCAGTGCCACAACAGGACCCCAGCATTTATTGTTGTTAAGTTCCGACTCATAGCAACCCTGTATAGAGTTTCCAAGGAACAGCTGGTGAGTTTGAACTGCTGACATAGGGAGAGTTTTAAAAGAGCACAATGCTCGAGGCAGACATTCTTTACTAATGAAGCTAATTAAGCTGTGTGGAATCCTGGTGTGGCACTGTAGTATAAGCACTGGACTGCTAACTACAAAGTTGGCAGTTCAAACTCACCAGCCACTCCTTGGAAACCCTATACAGGTTTGCTATGAGTCGGAACCAACTGGATGTCACTTAATAACAACAACAACAACATTGTTTGGTTCAAAGAAGACATCAGGGGATATTTTTAGTTGGAGGTTTCAAGATAATCTCAGAGCAATACTTTAGGGGATTCATCCACCTTCTGTGACTCCAGAAAGTCTGGGTTCAGGAGAGTATGAAATTCTGCTCCCTTTTGTCCAGGAGTTGTCTGTAGAATCTTTGACCAAAATGTTCACTAAGTAAGCAGCAAGTTTTCAAGAAAGTATCCCTGAGCATGCTGTTCTGATCCTCCAGCACGTCAGGTACCAGGAGTGTCAGAGCCCCTGGCACGACTTGTGGAGGTAAATGCTCTCTTAAGTGGTTGTTGGAGGTAAATGCTTTTTGTTACGTGCCATGGAGTCAGTTCCTACTCATAGCGACCTTGTACAAGGTTTCTGAGGCTGTAAATCTTTACGGGAGCAGAAAGCCTCATCTTTTCTCCCACGGAACAGCTGGTAGTGTTGAACTGCTGACTGTGAGATTAGCAGCCCGAAGCCCCTAACTCCCAATACCCCAGGAGACCAGGGGACACTTACACACATGCCGGTTTGTCTTCCTGTACCAAAAACCTGCAGGTTCCATGGAAGCAGAACTGGCTGTGGGAATCTGGGCAGTCATTAAAATGAGACACCACAGCAGCGGCCACAGGAGGGTCTGCTGGAGAGAGAAAAGGAACTGGGCTTAGATTCATGGCACAGCTGAGAGACGTCCCTACACACCCTTCTCCATTTGCAGAATGTGCACCAGTCTCCGCACAGGTACCCCTTCTCTTCTTAGCTCTCACTCATTTGCTAACACCAGAGGCTTCTGCATCCCGTGCGTCTAGGCAGGGTGGTTTTTGTTTGTTTGTTTTGGGTAGAAAACAAAACAGTCTCTTCAAAAGATTCAGTGTAATTGAAAAACACTAGAACAATTTTACTATTCAAAGCCTATTATTCCAAGAACTACCTAATTTTACCTTTGTAAGGGGATAGTAATATATATGTTGTTGTTGTTGTTAAGTGCCGTCGAGTCGGTTCCGACCCATAGCGACCCTGTACAGGGTTTCCGAGGGTGTAAATCCTTACG